CTAATTCACGTCGGCCCCGAAGCCGCCGGCTTGAACCGAGCATTGGAAGCGCCAAGCACAAACTTCTCCCAGAAACTAATCATCCCAAGATCATGCGGCCTGGACACTGCCACCTGAACCCTGACGACATAGACACACATGCATGAACACATGAGCCTGTGCAATCCCCCGCCCGCCACTGCTCACTGACTCCTCCACAAGCTCCACAAGCCCGAATCACAACTCTCCTAAACCTCGGTGGCCAGGCTACGCAGTAGGCCCTGATTCCCGGACCATCCTGGACCAGTCACCCCACAGTAGCCACATTCTGAGACAGCTTCCGGTCCGCTCGCGGTGTGGAAAAGGCTGCAGAGGAGCCGAGCACCTGAAGAAACTTTGGGCTGTGCAAAGATCTTCGAACTGAAGTCTTCAGATGTCTTTCGACTTTAAGCACTGGGTATAGTCAGGACCTAGATTTCGCCTGTGACAGCATACGGGGTGCATCTCAGGAATGGCTCTGAAAATTTGCTCTGGACGGAGTTCCCTGCGTTCATGGCTCAGGGGAAGGCTGCAAGCTCCGCAAAAAGCTCCACTTTACCCTTGATGTCTGGCACAGCCTAGGCCTGTAGGCCAAGGTCGACATTACCGCACTTGCACTACCCTGCACCGCAAGCACTGCCAGCGCCACGGCGGCAAGCACCACAGTGTCCTCACGCGCAACGGCTCAGGGGTCGTGGCAAATCTCGCGACAAAGACTTTCGTGTTCGCAAATTGACATCAAGGCTTCTTGCTAGCTGACTCAGTTTTCAGCTGCACGTAAACTGAGAACTTTGATTCGAAGACACACACCAAGTGCAAAACACACGAGCTAAGCCCTTACCTATCCTGAAGTGAGTATCGACCGGTTCAACGAGATTGCAACTCCGGAGACCCGACGTAAGATCCGAGAGCCGTATCTGAGTCTGCTTCCATCTTTGCTGGTTCATCCTCCAGACCAGTGTTGATTCAAGACCAGAACATTTAACGAACGAGAGCATGATGAATATCACCTCCGTGTTCATGCCAAAACCTGTTGATTGCAAGAAAACAAATGCCTCGGAAGGGCACCTCGAGCCGACGAACATGTCAATGCTCGAGCGTGTCAATACCCTAGCTGCTGGGCCAACAAGCGACTTGAGGCCTCACATTCAGGACAGAGAGTTCCTTGCTCTGCCTGACACGCCGATGAGATGACTTGGCCGCCATCCGGCCTTGGGAATTCATCCGCAGGATAGTCCGTTTTGATGGGACCTGTGGGCACACTATCGAAGCAGGCTGAAGAAATACTGACTACTGCTTTCATGACAGGCAAGCTGAGCGACTGAGTATGCTGCTTCCATGCGCCATGGCAGCGCACATGTGGGCCATTTTTTTCCTAGCTGCTTGTTTGTCGTGAGTTTCCGTAGGTTGCATGATTGAACCCACCGTGCCAAATGCATCCTGCGCTCGCGTGCGGACAATCTCAGGCTAAGGATTACACACTTCCAATTACGTCCCCTTTGCTCTGTTGCACTCCAAGTTTCCTTCCGGCGGTGATGAACAGCTGAATGCATGCATGTGGCACACATGCGACAAATCAACCTATCCCGCCAGATCGTCAAACATCACATTGTCATCGGGCATGTTAAACATACATACAGCAATTAAGTAGATGCAGACATGCGTGCATGCATGTCACACACATGACATTTACTATCATATTTAAAGAGTTAAGCAGATAGATAGACAGATAGACAGATAGATAGGTAGGCAGGTAGAACGTAATCTAGATTGAACCATGAGCATGTTTGTGTGACCATAAGCTTGTGCCAATTCACTGAACTTATGCTACAAGACACAAACCATTCCGAACCTCTTGGAAATATTAGCTCAACAAATCACAAAACTCTGCCTTAAAGCACACTGAACGAGCAATGGAAGAAGTTAGCAAGATATATATATATATATATATATATATACATATATACATATATACATATATATATATATATATACATGTATATATGTGCTCCGACCCCCCCCCCCGTGATCCACCCGAACCTGCTTTTTGTAAGCGGTGGATCATGGGAAGTGGGCAGCCTCGGATGCGAAAAACATTGCCAGGCTCGAATTTCCCCAGCATGTGTGAAGCTGGAAGTGCGAAAACATCGCCAGGCTCGAATAACCCGAAATTTGTAAAGCTGGAAATGCCAAAGCATCGCCAGGCCCGAATTGCCCCAAAAATTCCCAAAATCTCAGAAACTACGGCCCCGCGCTCGTTATAGATGCCAGGAGATTGGTGATTTTGGGGACCTGGCGATGTTTTGGCACTTCCAGCTTCACACATGCTGGGGAAATTCGAGCCTGGCGATGTTGTGACAACCTCGGACGCGAAAACACTGCCAGGCTCGAAGAACAGCTATACCATGTACTCATACATGAGCCTTCAATTGCTTCAGTTACCAACTGTGCTCTTGCTTCTTTCATCGACCAAAGTCATTGCTCTTATCAAGACTTTGCTCTATAAAGAAATAGAAGAACAGCTGCACTTTATGATATTGAAACCTTGTTTGTGCATCGAGGTACGATCTTGCTAACCGTTCAGACTCGTGCCCGTTGCTTAAACAAAGAAGAAATATTCCTTGCATTTTGTATTCAATCACAGACTAAAGCAGCTGATAAGCTCCGATATTGCACATCATTACATATAAAGTGAGCTCCCGAATAGTACTGCTGTCTTGCCTTGTTACTTTTGCGCTTCCCAAATCCAGACTGAATGCCAGGAAAAAAGGATACCCTTCAGGCGACACCAGGGAACCTGATAAATGAGCTTTCAATTGCTTCGATTACTGGTGCTACTAACTCTTCTCTCATGGAGCAAAATCATAACCGAATCCAGGTAAGCCTTGCTCAAGAGGTTTGTCAAGCGTTTTATTGCTTGCCTTGAAGCATAATGCAAAAAGATGTGTTTCCACCATTTCTCGGAGGCTATGAGGAGAGGTCTGGAGCTGTTTCATGCTGTAATCAAAGATGGCAGGAGCTATGCCACTTGTGCGAGTAGCGCTGGAGCTCAATTATGTGTTCCGAGCCAGGGTCGTCTTGCATCTTTGAATAAGAAAAACAGCAAATGGGTTGAGAGGAACAACGAATGCTTTCCAGATACATGCTTGTCTTAACTCCCACGAAGTGCACAGAGCTCGTTGAGTTCCAGCCACTGATTTCCAGCGACAGCTAAGACTGATTGTGTTTCTTTGTGATGAAACAAGACGTCTAATGCAAGAAAACAACACCACCTGAGAAAGAACAGCTGAGCTTCCCTTGTCTTTTCTACTGTTGAAAATAGAATTTGTCCTAGGTTCCCTTGAAGCATGCATATACATGGAGCTTCTTTTCCATGTCTTACGAGGAGCCAGGCTTGTTTTTGTTTTATGGATAGATAGGCAACAGGTCTGTTCAGCGTTGTTGCTAGTCAGCCAAACATACGACTGGCATGTTTGTTTTCACTGAAGGAGTTGTCCTTACTCCTTATGGTATGAAGAGAAGGGAAGCTACCCCTATTCAAACTGTGCATCTTAAGTAGTTCGACAAACTCAGAATCCAGAACCAGAATCTGGCTTCGGTTTCGGCTTGTTTACCTGTGATATAAATCAAAGAGTCAAGTAGATTCGGACTCTAGGACTATGCATCTTGGAACAGAAGACTGCGCAGGAGTATTGACAAGAAGGCTGGGGGGTGCGACCAACAAGAACTACACGAATAGCTTGCATGAGACAACACCTTCTACAATATGTGATTTGTTTCTGCATTCGGTGCTGCACTAGAGTAGACTGTGCTGCGTTCTGTCTTATGTGGTCTTGTTTGACCCTATCTTACCTTATGCATGATCTGTTTGCGTATGTCAGGGGTAACTCTTGTTCGGCTTGCTCCGGGGCAAATTCGACCTAGAATACCCTTTTACAAAATAGTCATCCCAATTATCCCCTACATGTTTGTGTATACCAACTTTGGCACTAGACATGGGATTCGGGGTGCTTGGCAACTCCTGATTGCTGCATTCCTTGGAAGTGGTCTTTTTCTTTGCGGAGGAACCGCTGTTGCAAGACCCCATTGCCTTTGTACAGTGCGGACACAGATCTCACAGCCACAAGTCTGCATCTGCAAATGTTGGAAGAAGTCCCGCTCCCGAGTAGACACGACCTTGAACACCACAAGCCCGTAGGCATCTTTGACAGCGAGCTGTTGGCACAAGACCTGTGATTGCTGACTCTTCAGCCATTGCATGTTACGTAACAATTTGGAGCAGGTTTTGCAGATGCAGCTGTGCAGAATAGGGAATGGATGCGACACTCGTCATGCCACACTGTCATAGTTCCGCCGAACAAAACTGAGTAGCTGGAATTTGCGGACTTCGCACCCATTCCGGTTTGTTCTGCGTAGCAGGTCTTGCGTCGGAGCATCCCTCAAAATCCACCGTCGACCGGGCTTATGCCTGAAAACGGAACAGGCAATTCACAAATTGCGTGAAGCACCATGGCATGCGACACAGCGGTGCGTCACAGCTGCTTCTTCCTTCCACTATCGACTGACAGCTCGTCGCAGCTTGGCGCACTAATCGACGGGATTGCTCGGAAAGCACTTCTCAAAATCCCACGTTTCAAGATTGCCCGAATCGAAGCAGGGATTCACTCCTTCAAACTTGCCGTACAACACATTCGTTCTCGACTCGCTCCGCCCTTACACAGCAGAAAAGCTTGAATGCTTTTGGCAGATGCTGGATTCAAGCAATCTCCACGGTCAAACTGACGCCAATAAGCAGTCAGACCTGCAGTCTAGTGCAGGAATTAGTATGACTGAGGCGCTCTCAGTGCATGGGCAAAATGCAACTTGTCTTGCAATGACACAGCTTCCACAAGAACTCAGGAACTTCTTGGTTGGGTAGCCGGTATGCAAGCGAAACACTACAAGTACCAAATACTGATGAACCCTGAAACCAAACCTTTTCCTTACTTTAGCACCCGGCATCCAGGCTTCGCAAGATCGCCCTGGCAAACAGCCACGGGGGGTTCGCGATCAAGAAGAGTACCGCTGCTCATCCGAGGGTTGTCGGTGACCGTCGAAACACCTTGCCGTTCCTGACCGACAAGGGGTTCTCCAATTCTCCAATGCTGACTCGTCCATCAGTCCAGTCACATCTGGCTTCTTGCAAGTTCAATCACAATGTGCCACTGTGCGATAAACTTTCATTCCAGATCCCACCTGCCGAAGCCTTCCTTTGTGCAAATCCTGACTAACTGCATGCGCTCTCCTGAAATCTCCCGAACGCCCCAACTTTAGTCGGTGCCCACCATGGCCCACCTGAACCTCACTTCGTCGGCCAAGGCGCGGCATTTTCGCCGGCTCTGGTGAGAAGTGCAACTGAGCGACAGAACAGGGCGTGTGTTCCTGGGCCTGGGGTCTGCGGTCAAGACTTGCGGAACGACCACAAGCTGCACAATGATCATATCAAATAATATCTGGTGCCCGCCGTCTGCCACCACGCGCATAACGCACTTTCGTTTGCACGATGCCACGGGTGCCATGTCAAACATTGTCTTCTCATATTCGGGCGAATGTTACCGTCTGTTTCTTCACATTGTACCACAGTCTGGAATCTGAATTCGCTAGTTTCCAGTTGACCCAATGCATAACACAACCGGAACTTACGGGCTGAATGCTTTTGATTTGGACACATTCAGAACAGGCGTACGGCATACAGCATCCTGTTTCCATTGCAGCCATGGCAGCTTCTACACAGTTTGTCCACGTCTAACTTCGGTCAAGCTGCGCTGTCGCTTCACATGTTCCGAAAAATGCACCAAAAATCAACGACCTTAGTCCTGCAAGCACCAAACCGTCGACGGCCCTGGATTGCATGTTGATGGCGAAGCCGCGAAGCCTCCTTGTAGGCAGTTCCGCCACAAGGGTTCTCTCGGCTCATGTCGCCCCAAATCTCCTGGAGCAAGGATTGTAAACGCAGCCGCAAGGGCATCACGGAAACATCGCGAAATACTTCACCAATACCACTAAGACGACTGCGGCTATGACTATGACTGCTACTGCTACTCCTGCTGCTGTCCCACCACGCCTACTACCTCCTGACTGCGAAAAACAAGATCAACAACGACCACGACGACCAGGACCACAAACACAACCACGACAACAACAACCACCACTACCACCACTACCACCACTACCACCACAACCACCACCACAACCACCACAACCACAAGCGCACTGCAACAACAACAACAACAACAACAAGAACAACGACGACGGCAGTAACAGCAGCAACAGCAGCCACCACAACCGCCACAACCACCAAGCCCACCACGACCGCAACAACCCAAGACCACAACAACAACTGCTGATGCTACTGCTACTGTTACTGCTACTGCTACTGCTATGCAGCTATGCTCCCGCTCCCGCTCCCGCTACTCCTACTCCTCCTCCTGCTCCTACTCCAACTCCTACTACTCCTACTCCTGGTCCTAGTGCTACTCCTGCTCCTCTTCCTCCCCCGTCGCAGGAAGCTCACTCCAACGACGCGTACGCGATTGCGATTGGACACAACACCCAGACGAGCTGGGGTGAGCTACGGCTACAATCGGACGACAAAATTCAAACACCACAGACAGAAAAGCAGGCAAACAAAGGCTTCGATGTGTTTGTGCTTGGCTCAGTCCTTGCAGTACGTTCGCTTCCACTTCGCAAGGAATTCAGTCTGCTGCTTCTTCATGAGCCGGCTCCACCTGGCACAGAGAACCCAAATTTCAGAAGAATGCTCTTCAACCTATCTATCGGAACTTACGCCAACCCCTCCTGATCCTGAGCTGAAATTGGCGACAACATGCTGGGCTGGCCCCCATCGCTTGAGCAGGAAGAGCCACACAGGCCAGAGCCTGTTTTACTACAAGACAGATCACGCTCATGTCGCTATCACCTCGTCACATTGCAGTCGGTAGGGGAGGACTGGTTGAAGGGGTCTTAAATTTTCGGGCAACGTGGTGATCCTGACGGCAAGTCGGAAGGAGTACGTACATAGCAAGTGCTGCTACTGGCAGGCCCATTTTTCATAACATTTTTCTGATTGAATCACTTCAGCATTCTGGATAACGATAATTAGTGAGCGTTGATCCAACACGAAGGTGTTAACCGTGTTAACGGAACATCAAGCCAATAGTTGAAATGAAACTCAACATGATTGCAGCCGCTGAACAAGTGACAAATTTCTCGGAGCCAACGAGCACCAAAAGCGTTTCATGGGACGCCAGCGAGCAAAAGCCACAAAGAGAATGGAGCTGAGCCGCCGACTTGAGCACCACGGGGCAAAATCCCCAAGCTGTGCGCATCAGTCCCATGGCCGTCTCGGCAAATCAAGGGCATGGCTATCCTTTCTGAGCAGCTCAACATCAACGGCCCAACTCAAGCCGCCTCCGACATGAAGTCTCTGAAGAGCGGCACACTCATCAGCACCTCTCAGGGAAAGCTGCTTGCGAAACTGTCGTTTACATGATATGTCTGTGTACGAAAAAGCCGCACCTGCGGAACAACGGCCGACACGAGCCGGTCTGTCCAGTAGTAGTAGTTGGCCTTGGGTCTTCTGCGGATCGAATCTAAGTGTTGAAAGAGTCGCCACTCGGATCCACGCACTCCCGTCGTTGATGCTGGCACCTGACGCATTCAGGACAGTCAGGCCCCTTCCATCATTGGTCATGCTGGCCAGAAACGGTTGACTTTGGCCTGTCATCTGTGTGAACCAAGCTTGGTGCTGCTCCTGGAAAAGGCGACGGAACAAAATCCCCCAAGGTCCCAAGGCTTGGAGCGACTCGCGCTTGGGTCCCCGACCGCCCGGCCGCCGAATCCCAGGAGGTAGGCGATGTTGAGAAGCGTCTCGCCGCCTGCGGAGCTGCGGCGCTCCGAAAGCTGACCACGAAAAGTGCCAGAACGCCGGGGCATCAACCAAAGATGATGCAGAAAATGCGGAGGAACAGTGCTGCCTCGGAGAGTCCATGAGCATGAACGCATGCTGAGTTCGCCCAAGGTTTGAGCAACTTCACCTTCATATGCATGGCGAGCTGTGTCTGCGGGCGGCACATAAAGGGAGTACTTCAGCAGGGCGCCGCAGGCCGAATGCGCCTGGGCCCTTGCCGCAACATTCGTAAGTGGTTCCCACACCAGCAGCGATGTCTCCAATGAAGTCTGCGGCTGAGGTCGCAGCTTGTGAAATTCTAGCAGCCGGAATCTTCGACCCCACATGTAGACAAGGTACTCGCCCTTTGCAGCTTTGCGGATCGAGGTGTGCGAGGCATAGCGAGGAATGCGACGAAACATGAAAGCTGAGTGTTCCGAGTCGTGACCCATGTTGCTTGGCCAAATCAATGCATGCCCTCGAACCGGGAGCAAGCTAGCTGGGCACCGCACCCAGTCTTCGGCAGGCCGTTTCCGCCGATGCGTGGGTGGAGCCCTGCTGCACAGCGCAGGTTGGGTGTTCGCAGTTTGACCATTCTGCCATTCTCTCTCAGATCCTCCACAATCTTCCAGATCTTCCAAACCAGTCGTTTCGCAAGTCTAGCAACTGCGTCGTGACAGTGGAGGTCAGACATAAACACTGTGCTCCTTCAACTGGCATCACCTGGCTCATCCACTTCCGGTACCGATTAAGGCACCGGCAGCTTCACTGAAGTATCTGCGATCCCTAGCTTCTGCGCGAACTTGATCTGCTGGACCATCTTGGCAGACAACACGGATGGAGGAAGACATGGTTGCTTCTGCTATCAATGCAAGATGCTGCATGTGTAACCAGTCCCGCTTAAGCTCTTCATGCAAACAGCCTTATTTCTTGGGAGTTGCTGGCAGTCATAACCACGGACCTGAAGCTGTCCCGGGCCCCAGGATCATGCTTCGGGGGTGCCTCTAATCATAACACCTATCTGCAAATACAGCTGTGCAGATGAGCTTCCGGGGCATCACTGACACAGAAAATACTCCATGGATGCTATTATCGCCAAGGCTGAACCGCGATGAACCGCTGTGCCGAACGGCCAGATCGAGCTCGAATTCACTTTGGGTCTCCAAGGCTACCATCAGGACAGGCAAGGACAACTACCCCGATTCTATTGAAGAAAGTGCACCTACCCTGGCTTTCACTGCGATACCTCTGCACTCTCTTGATGCACATGATGGCAGCCGCCAACACAAACTAGTTGGCCTTCGTGTCACACTAACCGCGGTTGCAGCCCTGGTCGCTGCGGTGCCAACACTGGTACTATAGCACTGGTGTGAAGGCCAACATGTTCAACCCCATTAGCATCATCGTTAGAATGCCAAGAGGAACGTAGAAGCGCCGGGAACCGAGAAGCAGACCCTGGATAAGACCTGCAAGATCTTCGTGATGGTGTGATCAGATCCTGCCCACAGGCTTCATCTTCTGATTTTGCTTGCCAGACTACCCGTCAGATAGTAGCACTGTGACTGTCATATTCTGTCTGATCACGTTCTATGCTCACTATTGCTTCACGTCGACAGAGTAGTGGCCAGAGCCTTCTAATCTCTCGTAAAGGATCTTGTGCAACCAGAACCTGAGTCTGCGAGTCCAAACTTCGGCGCTGGTAATACTACTCGCGCAGCAAAATGCGGATGGTTGCCACGCGGGCTCTTCACGGGTCCAAATCAGTTCGCACCACGCTCCAAGAGCCCGGCTCAACACTTCGGACGATGTAGGCCAACTGTCAAAGGCAACTTCGGATGATGAGCTTTTGCATGCTTAGGTAGGTAGTCTTAGTTTTAGCAGAAGTGTTCGCTGCCTGTCAACTGTTGTCGCTACCCCAATACTACATACTCCTCTCGCGACTTAAGAGGATTTAAGGTTCAAGAGTCTTGCGGCTGGGATGCGGAAGGCACAGGGAATGGATGACGGGAGGTTCCGTTACGTGGGCATCACTTATCAGCCCCTCGAAGCTGCGTGCATGCGTGGCAGGTCTTCGGCTGAGCCCCCGGCGACAGCATAGACATGTGCAGCCACAGGTGTAATGATAATTCGCATAAACCTCGACATGACAAGCCGCAGAGGTTCCGAACGTAAACAATCAGGGCACAGCTGCGTGCGACTTGCGCTCTCTGCCAAAACGCAACGACAAGCTTGTTTGTTCAAACTCGCTGGCAGGAGTGACAGCTGCTCGAAACGACTCCCTGTGACCGAAGCTTGGGAGCCCTGCTCCTCGAAGGTCAACGCCTTGGTGCTCAATTCGCGGAGATAACAGCATGCTGATGAGACGAATTATCAGTGGTACAGATAACAATCATTTCCGGTCCGCGGCTGGGAGTGCTGCAAGTACTGTATAAGCCACAGGTGTTAGGCATTGTTAGGCGCTAGCGACGTAACGCTAGGTGACGCCGGAGACCTTGAGCTCGTTGAACTCGTCTTTAGATGTCTTTAGATGTTGAAGCTTTGCCAGGCTGAACTTCCCTTTGACACACGAAGCACACGGGTCCCCCCCACCACGACTGTGCACAACGAATTTGTACCCACGGGAGCATTGGAAGTTTTCTTCATTCGGGAAGTACTGGCATCTCGGGGCGTGGCCTTGATGAAGGATCCTATCAGCAAGATCCAACTATCCTCCCACCAGGCGGGCATGGCATGGCTATGTCTCTGCACAAAGCCAATTCTCGAAATGCACTGATACTACGCCGCACTATCGAGTGCACGGTCCGTGTTGGTCAGAACACTGCGGATCCAGGCGTCCATGAAAAACCTGTGGCGGAACAGCTTGCAACGATCTGTTGCTTATGCGAGCAACTTCTCATAAGCTAGTGAAGTCTATTGACTCGACGAGAGACTGCAGTTCTGCACTCCATCGACGTATCCAAGCGTTCCAGCATGCTTCAAGCGACTCCTGAAGCCCCAGCCCCTGCACCAGGCCAGGCCCAGGCCTCCAGTAGGAGTCTTCCCAGTCGCAGTACTGGGCGAGCTCGTTCTGCCCATGCAAGGCCGCTCGGCTCTACAGCTAAAACCCAGCACATCTCGACACCTTCAACTGCAAACCCCAGGGCTCCATGACCACGAGCATTCCGAGGCTCACGGGATTTTGTGAGGATGGAGGCCCAAATTTGGTTTGCCAGAGCCTTCCAATAGAAGAACACATTGGCGTCCATCCACACCAGCCAACCCCTCGGCAACGCCGATGGTGTCACAATCGATATCCGCACGACTGCAAGAAGCGACTATAATCAGGCCCGGCCTCAGGCGGGACAAGCCTGGACAGTAGCTGGTACCACTGAAATACTCCGCATTGATGCCTGGCACAAACCAGACCAAGACAAGACGTGGTCGTTGCAAGATTCAAGTTATGCTGTTTGAGCAGCGTTGGCACCGAACCCTGAATCACGAGGCCTGCACCAGAGAAGAGGAAGCATGCTGAGGCGAAAAGAACCAGGTCCAGGAGTATCGGACCTCCCACATCGCTGATAAAGACCCAGGTTTCAAAACATGTCTGAACAGAGAGGCCGGCTGAAGATCTTCACCTCTGGCATGACCTTACCATTGTGGTCAGCATCTGCGGTTGTGAGTTGCCGTTCCTGGGTTCCTTTAAACATCACCGACTGGAGCCTACCCTAACCACCAAAATGCCACTAACATTCCTACTTGGGTAAATGTTCCAGGACATAAAACATGCTAGCGGCCCCGAAGCTCGAGCTTCGAAAAGCTCAGATCCCGGCCCCGTCCTCCGGCTTCACCATGTCTTCCAAGCTGTGCTTCTCGAACTGAGGAGGCTCCGCTGCAGAGTTCCAGAGTTTGGGATTTCAGGTCTTGACCTTGCGGGGTGTTTGATCGATTTTGGGGTTCATGGAACTGTAGTTTGGCGGGGGTTATGGTTTAGGGTTCAGGCCTCGGCTAGGGTTCAGGTTTTCAGGGCTCACCATCCCACCAGCAACGCTGTACGTCAATTCATGCCGGTAAACTCGTACTGCTCAGACTTGGCTCGTAGCCACTGGACCATGGGGTATTTAATGCTGATGGTTATGACTCGGGGGGGCGGGGGGGGGGGGGGGAGGGGTGTTCACTCTACTTCTACTACTGCTACGACGACAACGACGACGACAAGGACTGCTACCAGCACAACCACCACCACCACCACTACCACTGCTAGCACCCCTATCACTACCACCACCATTACGACGCCCACGACCACGGCCACCACCACCACCACCACCACCACCACCACTGCCACTACCACTCTACCACTACCACTACCAACACTACGACCACTACGACCAGTACGACCAGTACGACCACTACGACCACTACTACCACTACTACCTCTACTACCTCTACTACTTCTACATCTACATCTACATCTACATCTACATCTGCATCTACATCTGCTACTGCTACTGCTACTACTACTACTACTACTACTACTACTACTACTACTACTACTACTACTACTACTACTACTGCTACTACTAGGCGCCCCCCCCCCCTACCAACCACCCCTCTGACCATGCTCTTGTAACACACATCCGTTTTGCTCGGTATTGACAGCACTTTCGTCATGTAGGAACATCTTATGAAGCTTCAAAAGTAAGCTGCGTTTTTGCAAACTCCGGCTTCCGATTCTGGACTTGCTCTTGGCGGGTTGGGGGGTTGGGGGGGGATGATGACGGCATTGTTACGCAGACACCCCGAACAACCTCTCCAGAAGAGCCTTTTTGCTCGGTATTTACAGTACTTTCGTGATGTCGGACATCTTATATAGTCACCAAACGTACCTCTGAACTTTGCAAACTCGACATTGGGCTTTGCGAGGGCTTTCGGCGAAAACTCGAAATCGGTTGGGGGGGAGGTGGTTTCTTATTCTGTATTTAAAGTACTTCGGTCATGTCGTAATCTACGGCTAACCACCGTTCTTTAGCACGTTGCTGTTTTGCGGGGGGGAGGGGTGGGGGGATGGGCATGATGACTTACAGGCAGCCTCTCGAACACCACACACCACTTCAAAAGCAAAGCCTCGGGCGGCGAGGTCTGGGCTTTAAGGGTGTTGGCGAGCCCCTCTCACATACAGCTGGCATCTTCGTCTTTGATGTTTCGAAGATGTTGCACTCCAGGTTTAGCAACAAGGAGTGTTTAAACCTTCTTGGCAGCACCTGCGTTTTGCACCGTATTTACATCGTTTTCGCACTATCCGACCACCTGTGGTTTGGCAGTTTCTTCCCCCTCGAGTTTGCAACTCCAATTGCGTCTTTCCGAAGCCAAAGTCAATCTGACACGACCGGTCCTTTGGAGGCCATCGACAGCACAGCCAAGAGTCAGTGGCTGCAAGTGTTTTTTGATAGCCTCGTCCAGGTGTTCTCCTCCGTCCAGCATTTCAAACATCCTTGTCTGACTGACTCCCTGTTTCAGTTTTGGGGTCGGCGCGTCTGCAACTTCACCGGGTGTGACAGTTAAGGCAAGTGAGCCTCGGCAACTTCTGCATATGTCACAGATAGGGAGCCTGAGCCCCAGCATCTGTGACAGTGAAAGCAACTTTTGCAGCTGTCACAGATAGGGGGCCTGAGCCCCAGCATCTGTGACAGTTAAGGCAACTTTTGCAGCTGTCACAGATAGGGGGCCTGAGCCCCTGCATCTTCTGCAACTGTCATGTTCGTTAATGATGATCATGATGATGATGATGATGGGTTAAGGCGCCAGGTGGTTGGTAGGGGGGTGGCTACTACTACTACTACTACTACTACTACTACTACTACTACTACTACTACTACTACTTCTACTACTGCTACCACTACTACTACTACTACTACTACTACTACTACTACTACTACTACTACTACTACTGCTACTGCTACTGCTACTGCTACTAGTACTAGTACTAGTACTAGTACCAGTACCGGTACTGGTACTGGTACTGGTACTGGTACTGGTACTAGTACGTACGTACTACTACTACTACTACTACTACTACTACTACTACTACTGCTACTACTGCTATTACTACTACTACTACTACTACTACTACTACTACTACTGCTACACTACTACTACTACCACTGCCACTCCTACCACTCCTACCACTCCTACCACTCCTACCACTCCTACCACTCCTACCACTACTACTACTACTACCACCACTACTTACTACTGACGACTGACTACTGACTACTAACTATTGACGACTACTAACTACAAACTGCTGCTGCTGCTGCTCCTCCTCCTCCACTGCAACAACTACTACTACCACTACTACTACTGTTACTGTGACAACGACAACGACAAAAGACGCTGACGACTCAGTATAGCTGCAATCATCACAGCAATGACATGATTGTCAGTGCTGTTGACTCGAACAGTCTACCGCTAGAATCCGTGCTCTGCTCATCGGATTGTTTTTCGGATGGTCATGCCTTCAAGGGTAGCCATGAAAAACACGGAAGCGGATGACATCTGCTACAAGTAATTTCCGTTGATAACGGTGGGCAGAGGCTGCGCTCAAAATGTAAAACCGACCCGTGCCGCGCCTTCGTGTCGGGGTGGTGCAACAGCGTGGCGCAGAACTTGCACAGCTCTCTCTTGCAGTCGACCTTCTCCATTCTATACACCGTTGTTTCAGCCGTGAGTTGACTGGCGAGACTGCAGCTGGACGAAACAGTCCAAACAAGCCCTGTGCTATCGGCATGCAACACGCACGCGGAAGCTTGTGTGAAGCCCGGTGCAAAGCTAGAGACCCTAATACAACGACGAGGATGATAAAATCAAACCGAGAGAAGCCCATAGTCACACAAGCCACAGCAATCATGCCGTCCTCAACGAGGTAAAGGGCTGCCTTTGCAAAGCTTGGGGCAAGGCACAGTACACCTCTGCGTCCTTCTTGCAGTTGCTGCAAGTTACCTTGCAGACTTGAAGGAGGGAACCAGACGTGAAGATGAGCCCCGATTTACCGTGGCATTTGTTTGGGATCTCATGAATGGCTATCCCCTGCTGCTGTCCGAAATCTTGTTTTCCTACGTCCCAGACTCTCGACGAATTATTGGCGGAGGCAGTACGACGCTTTCGGCTGCCGCGGCCTTCACTCAATGTTTGTGCTTGATGCTTCCGATGCGTCATATGCGGCACCGAAGCCTCGTGCGCATCTAACTGCGCTGATGCACAGTGCATCTGCACAATGCAGGCCGCATGCCAGGCATGCATGGCATGCATGGCATGCACATCGCAAGCGCCGGTGATCACCAGCATTGCATATGTCCATGACAAATCTGGCAGTAGCTGGACGCCGGGGGGCGGACTGGCTTAGCCTTCACGTGGAAGTTCCATGGGAACCACCTCAGACTCGGCTCGGCGAGGTAAGTCGCATGAGTCTTCGTTGTCGTCGGGTCTCAAAGCTCTAGCTTCCCACACACCTTGGCTGCGACCTCTCAGTCGACGACGGTTTGATCTTGAGGTACTTCTTCTGCCAGGAAACTGGAAGCCATTTCACAATGGCCGGGAACTTCTCCTGCAAAAACGACAGTTCACTCGTCTTTTCTGCTAGAATCTAGAAGTACTTGGTGGGAGATCATCCACCTTGATTCATCACAAAATCATGCCGAAAAAGGCAACAACAACGAAAGCAAGTGGAATGACAGACGCGGTCTTTGAGTTCACTCCGAGGTTTCTCGAAGCAAACTGCAATGCTGCTGGATGTCGAATGCTTTCTTTCCTAGCCTCCCCATTTGCCCAGAAACTCCACGTCAGGTTGTCGGCCCATGCTTTCACGAGCACCACATCGCTTCACACCATGGCGCCAAGGGCTCTCGAGAGGAGGTCAAGCAGTTCTTGTTTTTTCTGCTGCCACTGCCATATGGCCAAATATGGCCAGCGCTCCAGTGGTTTTTGACTCGGAAACAGCAAGCGTCAAGTCCGACTTCCGCCTTGCAAGGTCCACATTGGCAACGACAACGAGTTCTGCAAGCCACTGCTGAAATCAATCAATAAGCATCATCATAAATCATCGTAAACAACTTTAGCGAATCTCTACTCCTTCCGGTTGCAGAAGAAAGTCCCGCTACAGCTTATCAAGATATCCATGGCTTTTGGGCGAGGTTCCACGAAAAGCCCCGCACCTTGGACGAGCTCATGCTGAGCCGGCGCAGAGCCTCCGCACTTCCACAAAGCCAGTCACTGTGCCAGAAAAGCTTCACTCAGACTTGGGGCTTGAACGCGGAACCTCTGCAGTGCAGCTACTCCCTGCCTCTCTAAGGGAGAAGGCACGCACGGGTCCTAGCTCTGCCCTTTGAGCCAAGCTCGCAGATTAAAACAAAAGCGTTAGCGTGAGTGTGATCCTCAGGTTCTGATCTGATCCGAGCTGAGCGGCGTGCTGCGCTACCGAAAACCACCACGGGAATTTCGATCTCTGTGCAGGACTTCGTCAATACACACTCGTGCAAGGGCCTCGCCAGCCGTTGCTGGCAGCAAGGAGTAGAGGATGCGCAGCTCGTGGAACCAAAGGTCGCCGCTGAAGAAAGGCTCGTCCTTCCCATCCTTCCCTTGTCCAGGATTTGGATGGCGTTGTTTCTGCAAAGGCGAACGAATGTCCAGGGCCAGCGTGTCCACGATGGCCGTCCGAAGCTCTTCTTTCGACTTAAACGGCCAAAGAGGTACGGAATAGGGAGAAGTACTGAACATTTCGGCAAATTGAACGACAGCAGCCTCATGCCAGGTCACCTCCATCATGGGTTCGTCGTAGGACTTCTGCACCCAATCGGGGACCCAAGCAGCTGGGAGCGATTCGAAACTCGGCAGATACGGCTTGATGTCAAGGCACGGCGTTCCGTCCAGGACGTCCAGGCCCGCCAAAACCAGCCTGCCCCTTTCCTGGTCCACCTCCACCACTCGTGCCAAGGACAAGCCTATGGGGTTGGGCCGGTGTGGCGTACGACAAGCCATCACGCCGACACGCAACTCAGGGCAGCGAGGAGGTGCTACCTTCATGCACAGGCCCTGCCAAAGCGGCACCCGTCCCTGCTTCTGCTTGCGTTGGGATACAGTCTTGGACTCCTTGAGCATGTTCGTGTTGTCGTGGAAGACATAGAGAACCCAAACGTGGCTAAAGCCTGCCAGGCCTTCCAATGCTGCTTTGGGGTTCAGATCTCTTACGCAGCGCAGGACAGCTAAACTTCCAGTGACCAAATTGCTCTGACGTGGGGTACCGCATCGCTGCCGATAGCAGGACTGAAAAGTTCCGATGGGGTGGAAAAGAAACGGCTTTTGGTCCCCTTGAAAGGCAACACTGTCACCGCCAGGAACATGCTGTTCTCGCTGCCGAAGCTCCTGCTCTGCGCGGATGCGGCCAGTACGCTCTTCCTCCCGTAGTTTCCGGCTCCGCGCGGCGTCCTCCTCACTCCTCCGACGCCGGCGGTGCTCCACAAGCGCGAGGGACGCACCGAGAAATGCGAAGCCCAGGAAAAACACCTCACGCCCTTGCAGCAACATGCGGCTTCTTGACGCGACGCCGACTTAAGAGCTGGCAACTGGTCGTGATACGTAGTGATGCAGAGGTTAGGAATAGCACATGCCCACAACTTTTATGCCTTCAACCTTGTCTTGGCTGCTTCAACTTCTGCGGAACAGCTCATGCAAGAAGGTAGCTGGGTTTCATTTCCTGCTGGTCGAGTTGAGAACTTTCCGACCACAATCCTGTCTGTCTGTCCGTTTTTCCTCTCTTTCTGATGGGCGTGTCTCACGATCCACATCGGCTTGAAACCTATGTCAAGGGTAGAACCCAACCCTCTCAAGAAAACAATGTCTGCAACAAGTAGTCAGGTAAACACTTCGACGTGGGGACACGGGTCACACCCTGTCTTTCGTTGGGTTAGAAGGTTACCCCTCACAGTCTGTCGCTCCCATGCTGAAGGCTTAACACCAACTTACCTGCAGTTGTCTCTATCTCTCCCTCCCCCGTTTTCCCCTGAGTCTTGCTCTCTCTCGCCCTCTCTCTCTCTCTCTCTCTTTCTCTATGGTGAAGGGGAAGTTCCCCTCTCTCTATCTCTCTCTCTCTTTCACTTCCACGGCCCTTCCACGCAGCCAGAAGGAGTAGCGCTCCCGCGTTCAGGCGCGCACTGGTTTTGGGGGACTACGACGAGCGGCCTCTCTCCCTCTCTCTCTCTCTCTCCCGGGCATACTTTTCAACATTCGTGAGGGTAAAGGCTTCTTCAATCCAAGGCTGGAGCTGGTGGTAGCGTGCGGTTGCTGTGAAGCCCCCGCCCTGAACACTCACGCGCATCCAGGCCTCATCCTCGCGCCCTCTATGGCCAATCCTTAGTACCTACGGCAACCACGCTCCCCCAAACAAGTACTCTCTCTCTCTCTCTTTCTCTTCCTTCCTTCCTTCCATTGGGGGTGAGTCCGCAAGCGGACCCGGGCCCAGGCCCCCCATTCCCCCTTTTTGCGGTGAAAAAGGCTTTGGGGTCAAAGGTCGGGTTTGAACACGAAGGTTGGTGAGGCAGGTAGAGTGTCTCCATTGGAAAACCCCGACCCTGTACACTAATGCGCTTCCCGGCCCCATCACCGCGCCCTCTAAGGCAAATCCTTAGACCCTCAAAGGACACATACCCCCCTCAAAAACCTGTGGCTGGTAGCCGTTCCCTGTCTTCAAAAAACACAGCGTGCACTAGCTCCTATAGCCCACCACCATCCCCAGAACACCTCCGGGACGATAGTAATAGGTAAATAGCTTGCGAGCTAGCCGAGCGACAACCAGGCGAGACACTAACACTCAGCTAGCACGGACGCACTTTTGTCGGAAGTGGCAACTATCATCCCGGCTGCCTGGAGATATTCGATAGCCTTCGGCTCTCTATCCCCAAGGTGGGCAGGGTGGGTACTTCAAAATTAACCCCCTGAAGAGGGGGACTTTATCCAGAATGGCAACGGTCGTCATACATTCATAGCCAACCCAAGTCACTGCTATACTGTCTCCGCATGTCAAATGAAACTCTCCTGCGAGCGACGATAGCGGACGAAACTTCGTTTCTAGCGAAGCTACCTTCAATAGCTTCGAGTGGGTATAGGTAAGCTAGCACACATAGTCGTAACTCGTTCCTCGTCCCGAGATACGTGCACTAGCTCCTATAGCCCACCATCCCCAAAACACCTCCGGGACGATAGTAATAGGCAAATAGCTTGCGAGCTAGCCGAGCGACAACCAGGCGAGACACTAACATTCAGCTAGCACGGACGCACTTTTGTCGGAAGCGGCAACTATCCCGGTTGCCTGGAGATATTCGATAGCCTTCGGCTATCTATCCCCACGCGTCGCCACAGGCTACCAGGGATCGAGCTTCCGGGCCTTACAGCTGAACTTCGACACCCTCTCCGGGGTCCCTCGCCTTCGCGTGCCTAGCTCCTTATAGACTTATAGAAGCTATCTGCATGCGCGAGTAGCCCGCCCAATACTCGCCACTGGAAGTCCTCCCCCCTCAGGTCTATCCTCTGGTCGGGGTCGAACTCCTTAAACTCTTCGTTTGCTAGCTGGTTAATGTCTCTACGTATCCACTGGAGCTGTAGCTCGCAGTTCTTCTGAGCTAGCTCCTCGGCCACCTCCACTAAAACTGGCATGGAGGGATACTTGGTTGTCATAGCCTTTCTAACGAGAGCCTCGTTAGACTTGTTATCCGTGTATCCACGGATGGCAACTCGCGAGGTCTTCCTATCCTCGCCCTCCGGGACCCAGAGACGTATCCCGACGAGGGTCGCTAGCAGTTCTAGCGCAGCTATCACTTTCTTGGGGTCGCCTTTCGAGAAGGCCCAAGGACCTGGCTTCCCCTCGGATCTCTCCAGGAAGCCACCTATCACCTATCCAGGCCCTATCGGACTCGGCTTTGCCGTCTGTGAAAAAGCTCAGTGGAGGTTGCCCGGCGGGTCACAGGACGTTGTAGCCTCTCCCCCTGGTCCGGCTTAGCTGCTAGCCATCTCAGTCGGGATGATGAGGTATCCAGTCTTCCCTTGGATAGCCGAGCTCCATGCATGTAGAGGCCCCAGGAAGGGTCTCTGCCACTCCAAGGCTATAGCCGCGAAGCCTAGCCGCCCAAGACATTGCTGCATCTCTGTACCCGTCACCTTCCCGGAGGAGACCTTGTCGTTGAGCCAGGAAGATATAGCTGGCAGCTAGCTCGTTTCTTGCACATTCCTAGCCTGTAGGAGGAGTCCTCCGTCTCCATTCCGTCGGAGGTTCTCGCTGTGGCTTCGCCGGCAAACCCTCTAGCCTGGGTCTCCTCTTGCGTAGCCGCGGCCGCGTTAGCCTTCTCGCCTTCCTCGCTCTCAGAGAAATCTTCCTCTAGCGTCTCGCCCGGTCGGTGGGGCTTAGCCCTGCCAGGTCGCGGTTCTTGGCTATCCGTTGTTCCAGGTACTGGGCCTCCAGAGTGTAGCCTCTAGCCGTCTGGCAGCGGACTATCCTGGCCGAGAGTCGGACACCGGGCTGCACACTTGCCCCCTCCTGAAACTCTTGGAGCTTCCTGTCTCTTGCTTTTCTAGCCAGCTGCAGCAACTTGTCGACCTTCAGCCTTTCGTATAGCTGTTCTGAGAGGCTAGCCGGGTCCACCTCTAGCCACTCCTCGAGTGCCAGTAGTAGGACCTCTATCCGCTGGGCTAGCACACTAGCCTGCTCCCCGCCATGCTGCTAGCCCGCCCCAAGCAGCTACTATGGGCTCTCCGAGATCTTAGCGGGCACCTCACAACCCACCTCCTAGCACAACAAGACAGCAAGCGAAGCAAGAGCAAGAACGCGATTCTCTCCACTCACTCTCTCCTCTCCTCTTCTTTTCATTCCAAGAGAAGGCCTCCACTCCCAAGGATCAGGATCGCCTTCGGAGGCATCGCTCGCCGCAACTTCCTCAGCTTCACGATCCTCTCGTTAGCCCACTCACGTCGAAGCTCGCCTGCTAGCCTTTCGGCGTCCTGCTCGGTAGCCTTGCCGGTCCTGAACAGCCAGCCGCCAAGATCGCCCGCAATCTCCCGGAGCCTGGCCACCCGGCCCCCGTAGGATCGGGTTTAAGTATGCGACTCCTTTCGGGTTTCCACCTCCCTGGCATGTCTCTATCCGCGCGAGGCATTGGCTCACTGCCACACTGGCATCCAGGACTAGCCTTTCCCATCTGGCCAAGATAGCCGCAGGGTACCTGGGTGCTCTCCTGGTCCAAGGGGCCTTCCAGGATAGCCTCTCGACCACCGCGTCCTTGACGCTATCCTGCCCGAAGAGGATAGCCTCCCTGGCACGGTCCTACCGCTTCAGGACAGGAGCCTCGCTCCTCCTTCAGCTTGATAGCCCATGTGCACTGCAGTCTCTCTTCCCTAGCCTGTGCCAGGGATCCCTCGTTGACAAGTCGTTTCTGCCTATCCCCCTAAGGGGGCTCTGGCTCGCTATCCTCTTGAAGGTCTATCCCTTCCACTGCCGGACGCTTGCTAAGCTTCATCTCGCCCTGTAGCCGGAGGTCCTCTCAACGAGATCTCTAGCCTCTCTGGCTTCTTGTATCCATAAGTAGATCGAGTCCCCGATGTACTCGTGTAGCCGACACCAAGTTCTTCTGCCACCTGGTGCCCCACTTCCTCCGCGTCCTCCAAGTCGAGGTAGCTAGCTCGAGAACACCAAAGCCCCGCGATGCCAAATGCTGGTGGCATTTATCCAACACCGCTCGCTTTCGCCCAAGAGCGCTATCCCTCAAGGACGGCAGATCGATCGGGCTCCCTATCCCTGCAGGCGACAACCCTAGCCCCACGTCCTGACCGTCTGGTACGATCGTAGGTTGGACGGACGGGCTATCTGGTTGCTCTTACTGAGGCTAGCCGGAACCACTGTTGCCGCCGGAGATCCAGGACTCGCCGTTCTCGAAGCCGAGGGGGTCCGAGGCGAAGCAGCCATTCTCGCTTGGCTATTAGCCAAGTACCCCTTCCTCGCCCCTCTACTTCAAAATTACACCCCCTGAAGAGGGGGACTTTATCCAGAACGGCAACGGTCGTCATACATTCATAGCCATTCCAAGTCACTGCTATACTGTCTCCGCATGTCAGATGAAACTCTCCTGCGAGCGACGATAGCGGACGAAACTTTGTTTCTAGCGAAGCTACCTTCAATAGCTTCGAGTAGGTATAGGTAAGCTAGCTAGCACACATAGTCGTAGCTCGTTCCTCGTCACGAAGTACAACTAAGGACAAGACCAGCTTAGGGTACAACCAAGTAGTGAACGATCACATTATGGGGTTGACGGACTACGTCCGCAGCATGTACATGTTTGAAGTGGCTCCCTCTTTCCAAAAGCAAAAGGTAGTCAGTGGTTTCCCCGCCTTTCTTGGTTAAGCAACAGCTGAGAACAACGAAACATGCAGGTGACTAAGACTGGCGGGTACTCCAGTATGTGTTTGCAACGGTGGTTCCCCCGCCTTTCGATTCAAGGTAGAAGCAACAGCCGAAACACAACACATGCAGGTCACAAAAAACA